GTAAGGAATGAATGAGATAAGTATATTTTAAACCTGCATAAAGTTTCTGTAGATTTTGAGCTCTAAAAATTCTAACGTTACACATAATTTTGTATTTTGTAGAGTTCTTTGAAGCCAGAGACTAGCCCATCCGGATATAGCGCCTCTCCAGATGACACCAAAAAATCTCCGAGGTCTATTCTAAGGAAGAAGAACTCGTCCGATAAAACCTCTCCGTCTCCATTTCAAAGGTTTTCAGGAATAAAAGAGGACGAGGATGGAGAGGTGAAGGAGGAAATGGATCAAGGGAGGAGAGGATCAAAAGGCAGTCGACAGCTCGAAGTAGTCCCGAGCTATTTCTTTGTCGGAACTGACAATGGCGATAAAAAAAGGAGTCGTACTTCAGCTGGATCGGCTGCAGAAACTCCAAAGGAAGAACACAAATGAAATTAATGTCTTTTATATGTACACTTTTTCTTATTCATGCAACACAAATTTTTGATTTTATTAATAATAATAATTATTATTATTTATGCTAATTATTATTGTGTTCCTTCTATTTTTATTTTCCTATGTTATTGTTATGATGTTGCTTTTAATGCTTTGCATTATTATTATTTAGAAAAAAAGAATTTAATTGTTATAATTTTTGGTACACTTGCTAGAAATGACTATGGTGCATAAGAGCTTTGTAAAGGGTCAATTTAAAAAAATAATCACACAAAAAATAATTTACTTCCTGTTCTTGTTCACACCTCAAGGTGTGAACAAGGTGTCAAAAAAATTACAACTTCCTGTGTAAAATTTATTTTTCAGAACTAGCCTAGATTACCGGTATTTTTCCATTAATTTAGCTGCCTGCCATATGAGCTGCAATGCATTCTACTTGGAATTACAATTACTCTTTTTAAAATAATTTAACAATAATTAATGATATTACAGTGCAATAAAATAATGAGACAAAATCTAATATACAAGCTGTTAACTGTGTTCTTTATTAATTTTTTATACAAAAAAATAATTAATAATAAATAAAACCAGGAGCCCTGATAAAACATATAAATAATATAAATAGTACTAATATAAATAAAACTAATCATTGCTATATAAATCTCCACTTAACGGCTGACTATCACTGCATTCCTCGTTAGACAATGTATAGCTAAACAAAAACAACAAAAACATTTAAAATGTTATTATTATTATACTTCCCCTTACATGTGTTGTTTAATGGAGACTGGTAATATTTCTACTGGTAACTGATATTTAATGATACTCTCAATACATAAATGCTGCAATGAAGGCACTAGAAAAAGAAAGAGAGAGAGAGAGAGAAAGAACAATAGAGAAATTGGTCTACTTCTCCTTACACAAATGGAGGCTGTAGGTGTCACCAAAAGTTAACAAAGAGTGATCGTGTTTTTCTTTTGATTGGTTACGTCTACAAAAGAGGCAAGAGGTTCAAATGATAATTAAAATATACTAACCCAACGCCCCCGCATATAATGACATCAGATCCAATAAGACACATGCCTACTCTTCTCCTTGGGCAGGGACCTAGACCATATGGTATTACCTTTAGGACGTGCCTAGTATCTAGGTAATAATAATAATAATAATAATAATAATAATAATAATAATAATTTATCATGATTGAGAGTGATTTCTATTTTTTAGAAGCTGACCTGTGTCGAGAATGAACAGATCGGAATAAAAGATCTTTTTTCTCGTGCTAAATCCTCCAAAGTAAATGATTGATTTCTGTCCGTATGTGATCCCTTGCAAGCTCCGCCTACCGGGAGGCTGATAGCCAGCTGTATCAATCTTAGCCCACCTAGAAGTACCTGAGACAAAATAAAAAAAAGATACTCAAATAGCTTGTTATTATACAAAAATAAAATTAAAATGAAGATAGAGATTATTAGGATGAAACTAACCAAACAGATACTCATAAAATCCATCGTCGTCCTGATTTGGGAAATAGCCTAACAAAGACACAAATAGCATAAAATGGCCCAAGATGTACTCACATTTTCCTCCAAATACTACAATCCTTCCATTAGTGTAAACGACCGAATGAAAGTCTCTTTTCAATACTTGGAGTGGACTATTTTCTTCGTTCAGTATTGGTTCGACGGGTTCAATCTGCCATTGTCCTGTCTCGAGGTTACAGGAGAGGAGAGTATCAGTGTATCTTAATGATTGATGTGATGATGGATCTAACATTGTACCACCCTAATCAACGAGAGAGAGAGAGGGGGGGAAAGGTGATAGGTATAATGAACATACACTGTACAACAAACCTGGACAAACATGATTGAACCTCTCAGTGTACAACCATGAGCATATCTGCCTATAATATATTATTGAAGCATGATAAAACATTTTTGTAAATTGGGCATAACTCAAAAATTACTTGCCAGAATCAGCTCAAACTTTCTACACAGCATGAGGGCATCAATATGTATCAGAAAATGTAATAAAAATTAAGGGTGATTTTGGAGCCATTTTTTGGGAAAAACCATGGGCTGTCTTGGGTATTTTTCAGAATTTTGGCATTTTCTTAACATGGTCGTAATTTGAAAAGTTGAAGTCATAATTCACTCAAACTTTCTACACAGCATAAGGACATCAATATGCATCCGAAAATGCTGTGATAGCATTTTTGATAAATTACTTACCTAATGGCACATTGTCCTGCGAAGTTTTTAACACAGACCACTTCCTTGATTCTAAAAAGACTCAAGAATAGATACTAATTCTATCAATGGCGGCTCACCGATATCAAAACAGTCGACGTTAAGGAAGAACCTATAATCATTCCTACCACCATACATGTAGAGTTTCCCCCTGTAGTATATGCAGGAATGAGCATAGCGTCCTGATATGAATTCACTGTAGTCCAGAGGAGGACAGTCTATTCTGCTATTAGTAGTAGAAGGTATGTGTATTTCAACTTCCTTAGGAGGATATATCCTCTCCCACGTTGATGAATCTGAGACAAAGAAAAAATTCATTTAAAGAACTAATTGTATATAATTACTGTATACATTCTACATGGCAAAATGGCATCAATATTCAGTACTGTTTATAGTGCACGATTGAAAAAAAAGCTGTTCCAATCAACACAATGTATTTAGCAGAACAATGAGACTGGAATAATTTATTTCTACCCACACAAAAATTATGAGTTATTGGCTCCTCCCATTATAGATAATCTAAAGTTTCTTTTACCAGTATCGAACCTCTGTACATCTAATGGTACGTCTCCAAGGTCATTCCAGGACTCGTTGGTTCTAATGGACTTCCCTCTGCCGCTGAATCCGCCAAGAGCATAGGCAGATCCACCGGCAGAGCTCATTGCGTGATTGACTCTGTCTGAAAACCCACAGTCCTCCCAGTTGGTCCACTTATAGCCTCTGAAAGTGGAGGGCCTCTCCGCAAAAGGAGCGTCGTTGCTTTTAAATGCAGCCATTGACTTTTTGCGAAATTTGTTTACATATTTATTGTGTTGGGCGTGGCTAAAAGTCTTAAGCGACCAATAGAATCGCTAGAAACACGTGTAAAAATAATTTCTATTATATTAAATATTATTATTAACTAATACAAATCAAACTTGTCAATAGACATTATTTTAATGAAAAGTCAATACGAATGAGAGAAGCTCAACTGACTATCACCTAGACGAATCTAAATATTTTGTCTAAAAAGGAGACAGATAATCATCTAACAGTATCATTATAAAAGTCCTTACAATTCTTGTCTAATGTGTATAGGAAGACCAGCTGTACTTAAGTGAAGCTCTTTCACAACCATCATACACAACTGCTGTAGCGTTGGTACTACAATAGAAAGAGATAGAGTGGTGCATTCTATCTTAGTCAAAACTTACATAATGACAATACAAATGTGTCAGAATGATCATGAAGTATCAAGTGTTTCTTTCCATCATAAACCCTCTCAGTTGGACTAAAGAGAGAGAGAGAGAGTGAGAATTAAAGGAATAAAAATCTCGTCTCTCTACCTTGTTCCGCCACAGAGTATGAGCTCGTTGTTAGTAATGCAATAGCCACACCTTCTACGAGGGCTGGGAGGTATGCCAAAAGGTATAATCTCAGTTGTAAGACGATTAACTAAAAGAAAAGAGATTCAAAATAAAGAACAGGTTCTGTTGTAAACATCCATTATAAAATATATATATAATCGAGAATTCTCTCATGGCCATATTGGTGAAATTAATACACTGTACTACTTATAGTATTTTTGGTTGAAGTTTAAAGTAACTTTAAAAAATCGTAAAAAATCGAATCTTGATCGAAATCAGCTCAAACTTAAGAAATAACATAAAAACATGTATATCTATCAGGAAAAATTATAAAAATGATGAAATTTCTCGGAGCCATTTTTGACGAAATTTGGCCAATGACCAAAGGCTATAGCCTTTGGTATTTGGCTGGATTTTGGAGTAACTTTAAAAAATCGTAAAAAATCAAATCTTGATCGAAATCAGCTCAAACTTGAAAAATAACATAAAAACATGTATATCTATCAGGAAAAATTATAAAAATGAAGGATTTTCTTGGAGCCATTTTTGGCAAAATACCCTGTATATAGTACAGGGTCTTTGGCCCAATTTTGAGCAACTTTTAAATCTACTGACAAGCACTATGTGTACATGTATACTAAAATTATATGGGGAACCCTGTTCTGTTACTTACGAGAATCATAAATGAAGACGTCATTAAAGTGTCTCTTATTTCCTCCATTGTATCCGCCAAAGAATAAAATTTTATGAACACCACATCTAACGGCACAATGACTCCTTCTAGCGTGTGGCTGATACCCATCTGGTTTTGCCACTTTCACCCATCTAAACTCATCTATTAGTAATGAAACACCATATACATACATGTAAAATTGTAAACGCATTATTAATTTGCAATCTAAATATGGCATTATATAAAGAATGACGATAATTCAAATCATGAAATCAATTAGTCTAATTGGCTTACCAAGGAGATACTCATAAAAAGCCGTGTCAAAGATATCTTGATTGCTAAAATCAGGAGCAATAATATCAGCTGGAAAACAAGATAAAAAGAGGACGCTTAATTGTCATGAGCTCATTCATACTTACATCGTCCACCAAAAACGATGACTTTCCTTTCTACATGCGTCGCAGTATGGAAATCTCTTTCTGGACAGCGGTCACCATTAGGAGGTAATAATCTAAACAAAGAACATACCCTCCATTTTAAATAATATTTTAAACGTACGTCCATATGTGGCTATCCATGTCAAAAGCATAAAGGTCACCAGTGAATACTAATGAGCCAGTATCAAAGCCTATGGACAATGAAATAGTGTTTTTACGTAAATTAAGCGCTTGACACTTACCTCCATGCAAATACATGATGTTTCCTTTGACGGTACATGCATGTCCATCTCTTGATCTTGGTAGTGCGCATCCTTCAGCAGTAGCATGTATCTTTAACCACATTGATCGAGTTACATCAAAACACTCCATCACTCTAAAGGAGCCATCGTCGTCATTACGGCCTCCATACATGAATATTTTATCCTTATATCCAACACAGGCATGTCCATAGCGACGGGGTGGCACACCTCCTCTGATTGGAATGTCTTTATTTTTTGTTCTCCGTATCACATCAACTTTTGCCCATTTATGAGTTTCTACGTTAAAATAGAAAAAAATTAATAGTCTAGGGGTGCAAATATGAAAATGACTATTATGTACAAACTCCGCCCACCCACAATAAGTTTTGCCACTGCATAATAACTGTAAATATCATAAAAATAACAAAGATGTGGTAGAAAATTCTTAAACAATACGTCATAATGAAAAAAAATACAACTAAATGAACTTTTATTACGAACATCAATCCCCCACGATCCTTACCAACGTCCATGCAATGTATATCAATGGGGCCAGTGTTAAAAGGAGAAGGGTCATTCTCAGCTTTTGCCCTCCTCTCTTTCTCCTCATCACTTGCATGGAACCCTCCAATGGAGTACACATAACACTTGCCATCTTTCCCATTACGAGCTACAGCAGTAGAGTGGTTCACGCGACTAGGGAAGCCGCTTTCTGGGTACTCTGTCCAGAAAAAACACCGCTCTGGTGGCCGTGGCCTACGCCTTGCTTCTTCAGCCGCTGAGACAGGATCTGGTGGCTCTACCTGGGGTGGACGGATACGCACGTCTAGACGTGGCAGGGACATGGAGAACTGCGTTCTGCCTCCTTCTTTCTTTTCTTCAGACATTTTCTTTCTCTATCTCGAATTTTCTCCTCCTAGTAACGCCCTATAGGAAATACCTCTGTGGTCTCACGTGCAGTATCTGGCACTTGATGCAACCAAAAGCCCATTATGCAAACCATTGATACTGGACCATGGATACTGGCTCCTGGAGCCAGAATCATGATGCAACTGATATGATCAAACTTTTATACTTTTACATTGCCAAATAAATAAATAAATATAAAAACAGAAGAATAATGAAAGCCTCGTGCTAAATTCAGTTAAAAATTTTGTCTGTAGAGAAAGAAAATAAATAAAGCATATGATTATGATTGATTAAGTTATACTTACAGCTGCTGTCTAATGTGTATAGGAAGGACAGCTGCATCCAACTCAAGTTCTTTCACAGCTATCATAGCCAGCTGCTGCAACGTTGGTACTATAAGATGAGAGTTAAGCATATAGAAATATAGATACTAACTCACAAAGTGAGAGGACAATTGTGTCAGAATGATCATGTAAAACTGAACGCTTCTCTCCATTAATAATCATATCTCTAGGACTAAAGAACATTGTGAATCAATTCCTCCATTTATGACCAAATCATGTATGCCTCTTACCTTGTTCCTCCACAGAATATGACCTCATTGTTAATAATACAATACCCACACCTTCTACGAGGGACAGGAGGTATACCAAAAGGTATAACTTCAACTGTATGCTGGTTAACTAAAAAGAAATCATTGAATAATAATTTCACTCTTCTATAACTTACGAGAATCATAAATGAAGACGTCATTAAAGTGTCTCTCAATTTTAGAGTTATACCCACCAAAATATAAAACCTTATTCTCAGAGTACCTGACGGCACAATGGCTCCTCCTTCCTTCAGGTTGGTAGCCACTTGGCTCGACTATAGTCCATTTCTTCTTATCTATAAATAGCTCATATTATATCGCATTAGCTCAACTTACTTAATGAATATTCAAAGAAGGCCTTTTCGTATCTGATTTCATTACCTTAAATTAAAAATAAAAAACTTTTGTAGCTACAGGTATCAGATACTAACATCGTCCTCCAAAGGCGACAATCTTTCCATCAACAAGAGTTGCAGTGTGAAAATCTCTACCTGCGATATGACGATCGCTGTTTTGAGGTAATAATCTAAAGAAGCCATTATTCATCTTAAGAGCATAAGACTAACTTACGTCCAAATATAAGTATCCATATCAAATGCATAAAGATCATTAGTGTGTCTATAACTTCCAACATCTAATCCTAAAAATAACCACATTGTAAATTAATATCATTGATCATTTTGATTAATAATTATTACCTCCATGCATGTACATGATGTTACCATTCGCAGTACATGCATGTCCATCTCTTGACCTTGGTAACGAGCATCCTTCAGCAGTAGCATGTATTTTTAACCACATTGATCGGGTTATATCAAAACACTCCATCACTCTAAAGGAGCCATCGTCGTCATTACGGCCTCCATACATGAATATCTTGTCACCATAGGCAACGCAGGCGTGTCCATAGCGACGGGGCGGTACCCCTCCTCTGATTGGAGGAACCTCTTCTTTCTTTGCATCACCACAAATAAAGTTCACTTCAACCCAATTACAAGTTGCTGTATGAAGTATGATTTTAAATACAGGTGGTAATGTTTAAAAAAAGATGCAAACCTCTTACCAATGTCCATACAGTACATATCAATGGGACCAGTGTTAAAATAAGGATTGTCATCATATATTATTCTCTTCTCCTTCTCTTCATCAGTTTCATGAAACCCCCCAATGGAGTACATGTAGTCCCTACCGTCTCTACCATTGCGAGCTATGACTGAGCAGTGGTTGACACGCAGTGGGAAACCACAGTCAGGGTATTGAGACCAAACAAAACGCCTCACTACTGTCTTCTTTGCAGCCATAATTTTGAGGAGAGTTTTTGGGCGGAGTTCTAAGTTCTATTTAGTTTAGAGTAAATAATAATAAAATTAACAGGATTTTTTTATCAAACATTGCATATTATACATCTTTTACATTAACATATAAAATAAATATTTAAAAAAACATGAAACCTCATGCTAAATTCAGTTAAAAATTTTGTCTGTAGAGAGAGAGAGAGAGAGAGAGAGAGAGAGAGAGAGAGAGAAAATAATTAAAGCTATAGCTAGCATCATTACAATTATACTTACAGCTGCTGTCTAATGTGTATAGGAAGGACAGCTGCATCCAACTCAAGTTCTTTCACAACTATCATAGCCAGCTGCTGTAATGTTGGTACTATAAGATGAGAGATAAAGAGATAAGTAGGATATTTCGGTCAGTTAAAGCTTACAAAGTGACAGTACAAATGTATCAGAATGATCGTGCAAAATTTTCCGCTTCCTTTCCTTAATCATAATTTCTATAGGACTACAGAGAAAATCAAATCAAAGACTATGATACTTTCAATACCTTGTTCCGCCACAGAATATGACCTCACTGTTAATGATACAATGACCGGATCTTCTACGAGGGACAGGAGGGATGCCATAAGGTTTAATCTCAGTCACGTGACGATTAACTTAAATATGATATCCCCAAATTATCATACAACATGATCTCACTGTTTTTACAACTCACGAGAATCATAAATGAAGATGTCGTTAAAGTGCCTCTCACTTAAAGAGTTATATCCACCAAAATATAAAACCTTATTCTCGGAGTACCTGACTGCACAATGGCTCCTCCTTCCTTCAGGCTGGTAGCCACTTGGCTCCACTACAGTCCATTTCTTCTCATCTAATCATCAAGTCAAGTTACGCTAATAATAATAATATTAGATCATATACCAAGTATGTATTCGTGAAAATTTGTTTCATAAGCATCTTGATTACTGAACATTGGCGCAAATACATCAGCTGAGAAAATAGCAATAGGAAAGATGCATGCTCATGATGCTTACTTCGTCCACCGAATAGAACAAGTGCTCCTTTAATGTATGTTAAAGTATGAAAATCTCTGTATAAAAGTTCATCATTGTCTTGTGGTAATAGCCTAATTATAGACAGCATTACTTCTTACTGAAATTCAATGTTATATACTTACGTCCAAGTGTGAGTGTCCATATTAAACGCATGGAAATCATCTATGAAACTATATGAATCGTCTGGATTGAATCCTAAATAAAATAAATACAATTAATACACAGCTTTTATCATACATCACAGACTAAGGTAATAATGATCCTTCATAGTCCCTTACCTCCATGCATGTACATGATGTTACCATTCGCAGTACATGCATGTCCATCTCTTGGTTGAGGTAATGAGCATCCTTCAGCAGTAGCATGTATCTTTAACCACATTGATCGGGTTACATCAAAACACTCCATCACTCTAAAGGAGCCATCGTCGTCGTTAAACCCACCATACATAAATATCTTGTCCCCATAGGCAACGCAGGCGTGTCCATAGCGACGGGGCGGTACCCCTCCTCTGATCGGGATATCTTTGTTCTCAGTCTTAGAAACACAATCAATGTTCACCCAGTTACAAGTAGCTGCAAAAAATGAATGAGTTTGGCAGTACACAAGCACAATATATACTCACCAATGTCCATGCACAAAATATCAATTGGTCCTGTACCAAAGTCTGGCAGTGTTTCTACTCTTTCTTCATCAGTTGCATGGAAGCCACCAAGAGAGTACATGTAGCTTGTACCGTCTTTGCCATTACGAGCAAGGACTGCACAGTGATTGACACGACCCGGGAACCCACAATCAGGATAATGGGACCACACAAAACGCCTAGCTGAAACAGCTGGAAACTTACTTTCTGCCATTTCCTCTCATCCCATCCCCTCCCCAATAGTCACGCCCTACAGTGGTTACACTAGTACTTGGACCTGACCTCTATTTTTCTGCATACATTGATAGTTGGTTTTAAAAAGCTGCTTTTGATATAGGGAAGTTTTTTTTTGCAATTTTTTTTACTGAAATTTCTCTTTCTATAATCTTCAAAACCTCAAGTCCAAAATGCGTGGGAGGCTCAGATTTGGTGTGGTTGCGTGGGAGTTGGTCAACGGAAAAGGGCGTGCCCTGATGTAAACGATTGTGTGTGGGCGTGGCTGATAATGATTATTTGCAAACAAGAAGGAAGAGAGTTCCACTGTCTCTAGTCCATTTCTCTCTCTGTCTCCCTCCCTCCCTCTCTTGTATACTATTAGCAGCTGCAGCCTAATAAGCTCAAGCTCGCTGGAGCTGTTTCTCAAGATACAGTAAGTATTACAGTACTGTTTCTGTGTTTCATGCTAGGTTGCCTCACTAGCAAATTCAAAAGTTTCAAATACCAGTTGTGTTGTGCCAGATTAAAATTTTAATGCCTGCCAACTATACCGCACACGTGTATCTACTCTATCCTATAAAATCCAGCGAGCTTGTGTAGGTCGTTTGTAGTTGGCTTGTTAAGTTTTAATCTACAGTGTTTATGCTATACCTGTTTCTAATTGAAGCAAGCATCCTTCTTATTGTCATCTTGTTGGGTCTATCCTTCCACTTTCTATTAAGCATCAGTCAACACACCTCATCACTCTCTCTCCAGCCATTATTATTGTATAATGTGTGTTTACTAAAGTGCATAAGTCTCTTTAGTCAGTTGCAATTGAGCTGTGCTGTCTTGTCTTGTTATTTCACCTCATTTTACAAGCTAATACTTGTTCTGTTTTCTTTTGTTTCTCTGTTTGCAGGGGTTACAGGAGAAGAGAGGATCATCATCATCATCATCATCATCATGGCACTCAACGGGTCAGAGCAGTCTGAGAGAGTTGACGTGAAACTGAAGATATTGCAAAAATCGCAAGAAAACCTCTCGTTATGGCTAGACCAGTGCGAGGAGTCCGTGGGTATGCATATACCTCTTGAAGATTTCATGGAAGCTGATCCCAACCATTTGACACAACTTGCCCTCCATTATAAGGTATGCAAGAGGCTCATGTTTTGAGGGTATGTTTTTTGGAGGTAGCGTACGTGTGTTTCGTTATACATTTGTGGGTCGTAAGTTTGGACTCTGTTAACAATTGATTGCATAACTGTTTCCGTTTGATGCATTGAAATATCTCGAATGTTAGTCATCACTGCTGAAGCAACATTACACTCCATCTATGTTCATGCACATATACATGTATGTGTGTGTGTGTGTGTGTGTGTGTGTCATTTCATATGCAGTTTTTTTATATCTTAGAATTATGGAATGTATAATTTATGTACACTGCAATTTGTACGACATTAATTGCTTCCATTAATCTAATATGATGCTTAATGTGTTTGTGTGTGTCTGTTCTGGTTTCCTCTTGGTATCTGTCAGTTTGAAAACAACTGAAACTATACTTAATATTAATTAGAAGTGCACAAATGCAAAGCATGGACCTAAATTCAATTGTGAACCTTTTACCGTCTCCAATTAAAGTCAGCTACCACTATTTGACATGTGAAGTCATGCCTGAGCTATATAGGCGTCTTTGTTTGTTGTTTGTTGTGAAATGCTAGTAGTGAGGGGACGAACATTGAGCTTGTTATTTATATCTTTCTTTTCATGCATCTTTAGTTTCTATTTTCCAATTCCCAAGCTTCATCAGATTTGACTATCCTCATATAGCCATCTCCTATTATCTTTCTCCCCTAACATGTGCCACATTTTTTGAGTGTTTATGTCTTATAAAGTTGTTATAATTCTTGGCTTCCTTTAACTCAACTTGATAAGTGAGGCCTTTAATTGAATTCTCTACCACAAAGTGAGTACATGCATTACCATTTGCATACTAATGGTGTGGTCACTCAAAAACATACCCTTTTCTCACACACCTTGCCTTAATGACAATTAGAGCATGTTATTGTGGTCAGATTGCTGTGACTAAAGGGGAAGGCTCAACTATATTTTATTTACTGGCCCTCTCCCATTGTTGTGATTAAAAGCTTCAGCAATGATAACTGATACTCTATTGTAATTGTAAGTCATATCAAAACTACATGCAGTCATTATAGGCATTCCTGGTAACCCCACAGATCTATTAGTATCACAGGAACTGCTTAGCATTGTCCCTCATGTATCCCAATGTATCAACTTGCCTATAATCTCTACCAGTTATGCTTTATACTTTATTGTGCAGCAAAACTATGCAAATAGAAACATTACTGTTAGCAATTGAGGTATATTGATAGCATTATTATTAGCATATGTCATTGAATGATGTATTATCCGATATTACCCACTCCTTGGTATCATGTGTCACTATTCACGTATATTTTATGTCTTCATATGCCCCTATCATGTTTACATAAGTACTCCTACTACATGACTACGAATAAGTAAGGAATAAGCCCTGGCATGCTTGTAACTAGATATGCCACCTCTTCATATCTCTCTGTCTCTCCTTTGTGCATGTATGTGTATGTGTGCAATTATACTTTTAATAGTTTTGTTATTATAATAATAATTACGTAATGCTGTTTGTACATGTACTTACTCATTATTTGTAAAATTCTCTAATTGAATCTCCTCCTACAACCACTCACTCAGAAAGTGAGTGCTTATATCCTTATTCATTGAAGGCTTGGATTTTTATTGTTGTTTGTTTCACTGTTCGATGGACCATGAATCACACCCACACAATTTGCTTCATTTTGTTTCCTTACATGGCAATGGAATGTTAAAACATTCGTGTCTATTATATTGGCCTTTGAATGTTTTAGTTACAATTATACTCAACTTAGACACATACACACACACAGCACTACCAGGCTTTCAGTATTTCACGTCAGCATAGCATAAATGATTTTTATGGCTGCCAATAGAAATTTTGCAATATCGTAGTTGCCGTGTGTGCAATGATTTTATTAAACACTAATAATAATAAATAATTACTATTTTATTTTCAATAGGATCTATTGCTCAAGCTTAAAGAGCGTTACAGTGTACTACAGGAGATGAAAGGTTTGTTGAAAGAGGTAACAGAAGAAAACAGCAAATCAAACCAATCATCAAATAGACTTCATTCCCTTGAAATATCCAAACTCACAAAGCAAGTGACAACAATGCACACCAAATGGTCTTCAGTGTGTCAGCAAGTGAAGCAGCTCTATTCTAAGCTTTCCATTGCTCTTGCTAGTGTCAGTGGTAGGTCCCCATCTCCTGTTAGTCCTACCAGTAAAGTTAATGGAGAGACTTTGTCTGGTTCCAACAATCACGGAAAGTTAGATGGTATTATTGCTAAGGCTTCAAATGAGAGTCTATCCTCTGGTCCTCCAAGTCGGTATAATTCCTCACCACATGTTCCTCAATCTCATCTTAGTTCGTCACCTCCACCGTATGCAAATTCAAACTTTTCCTTACAACCTCCACGGTCTCCTTCTCGTCCATCGTCTGTCCCTCGTCCATCCTCTGCCCCTCGTCCATCGTCCTCCCCTCGTCCATTGTATTCCCCTTGTCCACCTTATTCCCCTCGTCCACCTTATTCCCCTCGTCCACCGTATTCCCCTCATCCACCGTCCTCCCCTCGTCCACCATCCTCCCCTCGTCCACCGTCCTCCCCTCGTCCACCGTCCTCCCCTCGTCCACCGTCCTCCCCTCGTATTTCTTCCAGTCCAAAGAGGAACATAAACGAGTCGCTAGATGATTTATTAGATGCACTCAAGCAAGAAGCAGATAGACAAAATTCTTCACAAACGAAGACCCCTCAGTCTAATATGGGCATGTCTTGGCCTGGTGTGTCAACTCCGCCCCCTCCACCTAAACCAGCTCGCTCAAAAAGTCAACCCCAATCACAACAATCCCAGAGGTACTCTAATAGTTTTGAGAAGGCCCCGCCCTGTCGCTTGGCAATTAAATTGGAAGAAATGAGTTCACAAATTGACAGAGTCGAGAAATCCATTGTAAGAGGCGTGGCTTGTGAGTTGGACTCTAGCAAAATTGAGAAACGTCTTAAAGAAATGAGAGTAAGTTAATGGATTATTAATATTGTGTGATGTGTACATGTACATGACCAATAATGGTATCTATTCCTATCCCTTTCCTCTAATTGTATTTGCCCTTTCAATTTCCATCCTCTCACTCTCTTCCTCCAATGCACTGATAGGGTAGCCTAACATTACTGGATCTACAATCAGAGGAGTTGAATCAGTTATGCAAAGAGGCTGGCTCCATTCCTTCCTCTCCCTCTCCCACTAGGCCCAGTAAAGTGGCCAGTGTTGCTTCTTCTTACACGCTCCTCGAGTTAGCTTGCTGCAAGGCCTTGCTCTCCAGACTCTCTCTCACTGTCACTGAGCTACAGTCTGTCTGCAATGATCAGATACGGAATATGGAAGTAGTGCTGGAGCTGGTGGAAGAGTTTGAAGATAAGGCCAGTGACTGTTTGATGTGTCTTACTGCTTATGAGAATGCTGTGTCTGACCTGAGGAACTCTTCTTTGGAGGGAAACTCACAGCTATGGGCAGCTGCTGCTAAGGTACAGTTTACACAAGTACATGAGTGTTGACCACATTATATGCAACCCACAAGAGCCTGAACAAAAAGTTGTGTATAAAAGAGCTGGACGGCACAGTGCCAATTATTGATACATCCAAGAAAACTAGGCCCTAATACCAATTTTTGGAAGGGTTCATTTATAAATGAACCCTGCTTATTATTCTCAATAAACAGTAATGTCAATTCATTTCATGCTCATCAATATTGTTTTGTAATGTAGGTGGACCTGTTGTCATGTTTAGCCTATGCTTTTATTCTAATTTTAATGTTTTGTCTCTTATACTGTGTAACGTATTCTCCATGCATGCATGCATGGAATCATGGATGCAATTTGTTTCATATTGACCCCTATTGATTCTATGGTAAGGTACTGCCCTATCAGGCACTAGTACTAAATTTTAATGTCATTATAACTAACCTTGACAAATAATTTAAAGTGGTTAGATCAGGAACTACAATATGCACACAATAGTATCACGTTGTTTTCACTGCGATAATTATCAGTTGCATAATTTAGAACAATAAAACAAGCAATTAAGAGTGCAAGAGTAGAGAATTGAGAAAAATTATGTCTAATGTTGCCATTGTTCTTATTCTCCGTTACAGACTCAAGAGTGTTTATCAAAAGTTCACGAAAGCATAAAATCTACTCAGTCATTGTCCCAGCAGCTCAAGGTTCTCGAGCCTCATTTTAATGGAACTCCGATCCATCGTAACGTCCAAGACATGGAGACACGGTTACGGAGCATTAGATCAGAGGGAGACGGAATCATAATAGGAGCAATTGGACACAGGGAGGCTTACACAAGGGAGATCCTAGCAATAATGAGCAGCTGGTTGAGTAGAAGTGAAGAAGAGATCAAGAGATTAAGGAGAGAGAGGAAAGGAGTCACCACTGAGTTTAAAAAGGTATTACTGTACCTAGCATTAATGTATTATTAAGATTGTGTGGGTGTTTACTTTTTATTGCAATTATGTTCAATGGGTTGTATGGTAGTTCCGTATAAGCACAGGATTAAGTGTTATTGTCAAATGTTTTGTATTGCTGACAGAAGCCAGACCCACTACACTAGTCACTGAATGAAATCACACCACAGCATCATACACAGCACATACTAACAAAGATAGTAGTGAACTATGTTTGTTTCTGTTTTAGTCCAAGGCCCAGGAAGCCAGTGATCATGTTTCTAGTCTAGTAGAGATTACGGAGCAGCTGGAGTGCATACTAAACCTCAGTACACATACTCTGCCTCACATTCCACAGCTGGAGTCAATCAGAGAGAACAAGAAAGAAATAGCTAAGAAGAAGGAGAAGCTGGCAGCCATAACAAGTGATATTGATAGGCTCCCTCTGAAAGAGGAGCCTCCTCTGGAGTTAGGACAGAAAGGAGGAGGAATAAAGGTAGGAGAGAGTTAGTGAATGGTTGCTAAGTGCCATACTGTATGCTGCAGCAATGTGCAAGTGTCACAAAGTGTGTGGGCTTATTTAGAATTCATAATGTGTGACTGTCTGGAGTTATAAGTGTGCAGTTGTGATAGGAATTGTTTATATACTTATCACAGTTGAATGGCCAGAAATCTGTCTCTCCTTTTACATGTGTATATAATATTACCTTAATTTCTCACTTATTACCACTCTTATCCACACTCTTCCGTAAACTGCATGTACCCTCTTAAACTACACAATACAGCAGCATCCTGTTGATTCTCGCACGTACTAATGAGAATAGCCTTACCCTTTGCCTTCTCTATCTCCTTTTCTTCTTACTTCCTTTCTTTCTTCCTTTTATAGCCTCACGACGGATCAAAACTAGCTCCATCAGCAGGAGGACCCCAAAGACAAACTCTAGCTCAACAAAACAAGCCAATGTACATAGAAGTGGAGACAAAGCCAACCACAACTTATCATCCCTCAACTAATCCTAGTTCAGAGTATTCTGAAATACTGGTCAGGCCAAGGAAGAACATGACAGAGTCTCCATACCACCATCACCACATACCTCACCCTCCAGGCCACTCTCCTTCCTCTCCCCCTCCTCCTCCTCTACCTCAGCTAACTAGATCCATTCATTTGCCATCTGCTGAGACTCAGCTTCCCTCGGCCTCGCCTAATTCCCCTCCACCTGCTCCTGGAGAGGTATTTTTGGCACATGATATGTTTTTGTTTGCATAAACAAATTTAAAAATTAGTATATTTTTGACTATGGTTCCTTGAATTCAGTGTTTATTTATTGTTTTTATTTATAATTACAGTATCCACCTGGTAAGTCTCCTTTGAAATCTCCAGTCAAACCCAGTGGACTAAAACTACCTGAAAAATATGCAAAACAGGTCAAACCAGTTGCTAATAAAGCGCCTGAAAAAAGGAGGAAGAAATCGAAAACGAGAGAAGACAAAAGGAAAGATACCAGTCCTCTTTCATACGAGATGCTTGATTATGATATACCACGTCCGTCATCCCTTAGACTGGTACTGCTTGAATTCATTGATGAAGAATATTCTAAAATAAGCGAAGCAATCAAGGTACATGATTATAACTAGCACCTTGTCTGTTGCAGTGCAAAATTTATTATTAATTTGATCCTTTCAAATTCTTTGTTGCAATAGTTATTGTTAGATTTGTAATATTAATTTAATAATCATTTACTACTCCAGAAGTATGAAGGCATCTTGTTCTTCATATGTTGTTTTCCTGTATTTTACAATTTTCTTTGCTCTCTCCCTCTCTCTCTCTCTCTCTCTCTCTCTCTCGAAGCCATAATTGACAAAATTTAACACTTATTTGAGCTAATTCCTTACTCTTTGTCATCCACAGGATACTGATGGTTTCTATTCTCCTACACTAAGAGACACCATTGTTTCTCTACCAGATGACAGCACTGCTAAGAGAGACTGTGAGTCTTTCCTGAGACAGCTCAACACTCACCATGTATCTCTGGAGAGTATAATGAAACAGATCCATCATGTAGAAGTGCCAACTGTTAGTCCTAATCCTACTCTGTGTCAAGATCAAAAGAGACTCTGCTATGTACGTTATTACTATTTAACCTTTTCAACTTACTCACTCAATACTGGTTGTACTACAAATGAATATAATGATTAAGAGCACTACTATTATCTATTGTGTATTTATAATTATGCACGTGTGTGTGGGGGGTGCAGTTTAGATTATTGCTTTCTTTTTTTATTTATTTTTTCTCTATAAATTTTCCATAGAGTTTAGTCACAAAACTACAGGAGATTGGTGAACAAATCTCTCAATTAAATGAATCAACCGGCCAGCTCCACACTGCTCTTTCCTCTTTAATGTCTCAAGAGGAGAGTACAAACATTCTTCTGCTTCAGTTTGAATCAGAGCTCTTTGAAGTGAGTGTCCTTCATCATCGCTGCTGGTTGAAGCTACAGGAGAAGCTAAAATTGTTGAAGAATCTTGAAAGAGATGTCACCAGTTTACAAGGAAGCATTGAGAACCTCTCCAGCTTACTGGAGAGTGCACAAGCACTTTTAGCAAAGAGAGACAGCATTATGAATGTACAGGACTACCTTGATGAATGCAAGGTGAGAAAATGAAGAAATAAACAAAGAGTTATGCTGTGTATATGTTCCTATGTGTAGGAGATGCATCATAAATTAGCACAGCAATCCTTCACAAGACAAGAAGCTGCTTCAAGAATACGTGGGATTATCCTCTCCTCTACTTCTCCTCCCTCCTCTTCCTCTTCCTCCTCTCTCTCCCCAACCTCTCCTCCATCGGACTACAGTTTAAAGCTTTTAGATCAGTTAAAGAGCATAGAGACACAATGGGTCAATGTGATACATGATCTCATGAACATGAGCAAATTGGAGCCTGCACTCATCAAGCAGATGATACAGAACATAGCAAAAGAATTGAAGCAATTGGAAGCTGCTTTCCCTGAGCTTGAGTATGGAGGGATTGATCTGGAGACTATCAAAAAGACCCAAGAACTCTGTCAAGTATGAGCCCTTTAATAGACCTACCAATACACCAGTACTGCATTGTGTATTTACCAATATATACACTGTGCCCCTTTATGGTCACTTATACATGATACTACATGTACATTACTGTACTTTGTTCAATGGTAGAAGGTATAGCTACTGTTGTTAGGTGGCCCCTATGTATTGATGTACATGTATATTCAACAATACAAATGAGATTTATTTTACTGGCCCTTTTTTGTCTAGTGAATGTAAAGCAATATAAATAAATAAATCTCCCATTTATATCTACTGCATATACTAATGTAAGATTCTGCATAATATTTCTAGTTCATGGTTTATTAAGCATGTACTTTGTGTCATTTTTATAATTTGATTTAAAAGTACAAGGTATGACAACAAAAGAGAACAAATATGCACTCACACACACACACACAAAGATGGCACACTAGCAATTAGTGATGCAACACTCAAACAAATTGTATGTTAGTCTATAAAGAACATAACAGATTCTAAGGAAAAATTAATAGTCCATGAAGAATGCTGTAATGTAACTAGTGTAGTGTGACATTAGGATGAAGTGTGAATATTATAAAAATGTACTCAGTCAGTGAGTTAATCTCTCTCACAGGATAAAATAAAGACTTGTAAAGAATTGGACAGATCAGTGAGTGCATTAAAGTCAAGAGTTGAATATCTACAATCAGTTAAAGGAGACGAACACATGTATGATCATCCTCGTACCGTCACCACAACCCTCCCTCCCCCTCCCTCCTCCCCCCTCTCTCCCTTGTCACGCACATCCTTTGAATCTGAGACCCATTCCTCCGACTCTACGGACTCGGTACCAAAAAAACGAAGGAGCAGTGTTGGTACGATGCACTGTGATATGGTCTTTGACTATGAGAAGGCGGTCAAGACGACCGGTATACTGGTGGGTCTAGTGGAACGAATCATTAGTAGACTGGAGTCAAAGAATGCCCTCTTTTGTGAGAGGAGTAGATTGATTGAACAGTTTTGGAATGAATCATCAATACTGAGTGATTGGCTCATCAAAATGAGGCTGGAGCTGAAAGGAAAGAGAACAGGAGTGTCTGATAATAATCAAGTAAGAGACGTCCAAGTATTATTATTATTATTATTATTATTATTATTATTATTATTATTATTATTATTATTACTATTATTATTATTTGTTATTTTCTATTTTATGTAGTCTCTAATAGATGCTGTCACGGTTAGGAGGAGGTCGTTTGTTTCTTTAAAAGAACTTGCAATGACTCTACTTGATATACAGACCTCTTCTCATACTGATAAGGAGTCAGTGAAGAGCAGAAGGGACAAAGTGGCCAAAGAATGGCAGCTCTTATTTCGTTCACTGCCACTCAACGTACAGGTACAGGCATCAACTTGAAATATTGTACTATCATTGTGTACTATCATTAACTTTTGAGAACACTGTGTGTACAAACGCATTAGGTTAAATTATAATAATTATGTGATGATTTTGAAATTTAAAAAATGCATTGCGCTGTAATGTTTTTTCTCCATCTCTTTCTTTCCTTTTAAGGTAACACTTCGTGCTTTTGATGATGATCCAATGTCACAGATCAAACCTCCCGAGAAATTTGACGACATTGGTCACATGGTGGAATGGTTGATACTGGTCGAGTCAAAGATGCAACCACGCCCACTCTCTGTTGGTGACACATCCGACATCAAGAGGGAATTAGAAGAATTAAACGTTAGCTGCTAATTTTTTTAATTTATTATTTATTTATTTATTGCAGTCATTGCATAAAGAACTCTCGAACAAGAAATCAGAGTATCACCTCTTTATGAAATCCAGTCGTCATAGCGACCACTCAGACTCCTCAGGTGGTTCCAGCCCCACCCAGTCTCGGGGGGAGAGCCCCCCTAAGACGGTAAAATTTGTCGACGAGAACACAATAGAGAGACACCAGAGGAGGAAACAGATAGAGCAGGATAATATACTGGAGACTATAATATCAGAGGATGAGCTGGAGGTGGAGTCAAAAAGAGGAAACAATGATGGTATGATAATGATAGTAATGCATATAGCTTCCAGGTGTCATTTTGAGCAACTTTTAAAATTTGTAAAAAATCTGATTTTGATCGAAATCAGCTCAAACTTGATATACAACATAAGAACATGTATATGTATCAGGAAAAATTATTAAAATGCAGAATTCTCACCAAGTGATTTTTGGCAAAATTTGGCCAACGACCCTGTACTATAGTACAGGGACTTTTGCCCGATTTTGGAGCAACTTTAAAAATTCATGAAAAATTCAATTTTAGTCAAAATTAGCTCAAACTTGATATACAACATAAGAACATGTATATGTATCAGAAGAAATTATAAAAATGCAGAATTCTCATTAAGCCATTTTTGGCTAACTACCATGGTCTTTGGTCAAAATTTTGAATAGCTTTAAAGCAGGTTTTTAGCTGCATGTCCTCTCATATCATTTGCCAATACATGTTGTTTTAAATTATTATTGGGTTTCTATAGATTCATCAAGTTTACCTACAGTCGTATCTCCAACACTAGAAGAAGCACAGCAACTGTCAATGCTATGGACAGGTAGGAGACTATTACTTTTAAAATAAGCCTTTATTTATTTATTTATACATTAATTTGTTTATCATTTGCAGGAGTGTGGAGCACATTAAAGCAAAGGAAGCAGGCACTTGAGTCGGTCCAAGACATTTGGTCTGGCTTTGAGTCCAAGAAGATCATGTGTGAAAAGTTTCTGGAGAGATCAGAAGTGATCCTAGTTGACATGTATGCTGGACTGAAGAAAGCATTAACAGTTGAAGCACTCCAGAAAGAAATGATAGAATTGAAGGTATTATTATATTAATGTTTAAATTGCTGTAATGTATTTTTATTATTTTAGAGTTTGTGTGAAGAGACTGCTTTGTATCAGAGCAAGATAGGGACTCTCAATGACTTAACGACTGATTTGATACAGAGACACAGATCAAGCGATAACGTTGAACCGCTTCAGGAATCAATGACCACGCTCAACGTGAAATGGAAGAAAGTTAACGAATGGTAAGCTAGCTTCCTATAGCTGCTTCTTTCGACATTGCATTAATATGAATATATATTGCATTAATACAATTATTATTTTTCAAATCACTTTCTCTTTTTCTTTTAGTTATTTAAGGAACAAGTCCGCCATTGAGCAGGTCACTACTGCCTGGGCCTCGTTCTATCAACAGTTTTATCCTTTAGCCGAGTTTGTGAGACAGTTAGAGACAGAGCTGAACAATATTAGTCCACAAATTAAAGACATGCTGACGATAACCAGAACAGTCGAGAGACTAAAGGTATAAAAAAATAACCACTAAAAAACTAAAGACTAATGAAAGCTTATTGAGAGAATCTGAGAAGTTGAGAGTAAAAGGGAAAGACATTTATAGAGACATCTGCATAGGAGTCTTATTTATGCTTCTTTTTTCTCCTCTTTCTATAGTTAACTCAGAAGGAGTTAGTAGCTCGAAGTGGCTCTTTAGGTGTAGTTAAGCAATGCAATGTTAAGCTTCAGGATGCTCTGGCCAAACAGCATATCACAGAACTGACAGTAGTTAACAGTGACATAGAGTTATTAGCAAAGAAATGGAAAACACTGAATATATTAGTGGAAGAGAAGTAATATAATAATAATGATAATAATTTAGCGATACATTTATCCATTTATTTATTTGTTTATTCATTTATTAATTATTTATTTATTTATTTCAGGTATCAAAGTCTTGAGCATGATTTCTCGGAGAGGAGGGAGGTACTAGCAATACTGACAAGATGTGAAACTTGGACCAGACGAGCAGAAGAATTCCTTAAAGGGCGGAGCCAACTAGTAGCTGACCTCTCCCACATTAAAATTCTAATTGATAAACAAAAAGTAAAATTTATAAATGCTGTACGATTATATTTATTATTTCGTTTGTTATAGAGTTTTGATGCTGAGCTCAGAGAGCGACAGAACCAGCTGTCAATGGCTACAGCACGTGCTAGGCACATGACGAATAATTTCACATCTCCCAGCAACTTGACGGAGGATATGAATGCAGAGGAATTGAAGCAATATTTTGTTAGACTTGAGAGCAGTTTGGAGGATATAGGGGCTCTCATTCTAAAATGGAAAGAAGAAATGGATACCGTTTTAGGAGCAATGGATGAGTTTCAAGTAATAATAATAATAATAATAATAATAATAATAATAATCTTGCAGCAATTGTAGTAGCTTTAGAGTAACATTTAAAGTTTCCTTTCTCTTTTTCTCATAGCTTCTCTCTACACAATTATCTCAAGGTATTACAGAGATACAGTCGAGTGTACCAGATAAAGTCCAACCATCATCAACCCTCCCTCAACTGAAGCAAGAGCTGGAACACTGGCAGAAGATAGAGGCCAACGCTAATGGTCTAGGAAGAGTCCTAGAAGCAATGGTTGCCTCACAAAAGAAATTAATGGGAATTGGAGTCCAGGTATACACTATTAGCATAGTAGTTAATTATTTTATTAGCGTGATATAGTTCATAAAGTTTATAATTGTTTTATTTTTAGTTGAATACCGACTCAGTCCAACTGGTGAAGAAATACCACACTCAATGGAATGCCCTTCGTAAAACTATTGGCAACATTCTAGTCACAGTGAAGACAGCAATGGGGAAGTATGATCCAAAGAATGTCACGACAAGTGAGAAAATAAATAAATTAATAATAATAATAATAATAATAATAATAATATATTGTTGTTTTAGATCTACCAAGAGGCTGGATGAAGACAAAGACATCGCAAGGGACGGCATATTACATTGAGTAAGTTGAAACAATTTTAAACGGATAACAACATGCGCCTTTCTTCTTTCCCCAGTACATTATCAGGCAATCATGCCCAATGGCAGCACCCCGAACTGTCAGAGCTCTACAGAAGCTTCAACAGTAAATTCCAGTACAGTTTCTATCCATCCCCAGCTTATCCAATATCACTAAGACTGAGGTGCATCCAGAAACACATACAATGTAAGTTACTGAAACTACTAGCTACATATTCTATATATAGTAGGAGACTATGAACTTTATAATGCAGAATACATGTACATGTACATGTAGCTAAAGTTGATTCATTTATAATAATATAAAGTAAAAGAGTCATTTTTTCTTTTATTTTTAGTCGAGGGTCTTCCCACTCAAATAGCATTGGACACGTTTGAGTATTATGGTTTAAAACAAGATCCATACACTAATCTCTCATCGTCAGAGATGATTGAGATATCCCTCAGTCTCTTTCACAAGGCAGCCTCTCTTTCCTCTGGTGGCCCTGGTATGGAGTCTGACGAGTTTGGAGGTGTCCACTCCTTAACCAGTAGAGCTAGCATTGATGTCAATAGAGCAGTTGAACTAGCAGTTTCGTGGATACAAGACGTTTTTGACTTGTGAGTTTATTTTGGTGTTACTGGTTGTTGCTATTATTGTTATTATTATTGTTATTATTATTATTGTTATTGTTATTATTGTTGTTGTTGTTGTTGTTGTTTAGAACTCACACTGGGTTTGTTAATGCTCTTTCTTTCCAAGTTGCTATTATTTGTCTCTCGTCAACAAAGATGGATGAAAAGCACAAAGGTACACTATATATGAGAGGAAATATTCTCAATGACAAATACTTAAAATACTTGTGCATTGTAGCATTGTTCCATGTAATGTCAAGAGGGAGGACTACAGTTGATCGTGTTGGCTTCCTCTCTTTCCTAGAAACACTTGTACAGGTACATACATGTACATGTACATTACTAGTATCCATTATTATTATAGTTTATTGTGTCCATTATGTGTTCATTATGTGTCCATCTTCCTTCCATAGATCCCACAGAGTATGACGGACAATCAATACTGCACATTAGATAATCTTGAGGCTCATGTCAATGATTGCTTCAAGAAGGTATACAGCAGTCTATCTCACTACAAAAAAAATATTACTCTCCATTTTTTATTTCCACTATTGTCCCCCTCCACTCTTTAGTATGCTACAGGTATTCAGTTACACAGTGTTGGGTATATGGCTTGGTCACAGGCTGAACCACTCCCAATAGCTTGGTTACCTATACTCCACAGAATGGCAGCCGCTGAAACAAGTAAATAATAAATAATAATAATAGTAATAAGTATAATGATATTGTGTTTATATCAGTGGAACATAATATCAAGTGTTCTGTCTGTCGCTTGCCATCTATTATTGGTTTCCGTTACAAGTGTCTGCAGTGTAGTAACTTTAACATGTGTCAGGTTAGTAGCATTGGAAAACAACTACTCTATGGATATTGTTTCATGTTATGGTACATTACATAGGAATGTTATTGGTCTGGTAAGACAGGGAAAGATCATGACAGGTCAAAACATTTCATGGAAGAGTATTGCATTTCTGTAAGTAGTACATGTACATGTAGTACAGGGAAATTGGCTATTTTAAAATGGCCGTAACTTGAAAAATTTTAGTCGGAACTGCATCAAACTTTCTACATAGCATAAGTACATCAATGTGTATCAAAAAATGTAATAAAAATTGGGAGTGATTTTGGAGCCATTTTTCAGAAAAAACCATGGGCTATAGTACAGGGAAATTTTCAAAAAATGGCTCATTTTTAAAAATGGCCATAACTTAAAAAATTTTAGTTGGAATCAGCTCAAACTTTCTACACAGCATAAGGGCATCAATATGTATCAGAAAATGTAATAAAAATTTAAAGCGATTTTTGAGCCATTTTAAAGGAAAAACCATAAACTATACATGCGAACAAGCACACACTTATACTGACCCTCTTGTTTTTTATTTATTGTAGCCTGACGAACGTGGAAACTTCTTCCGCACCCTTGGAAACAGAGGAAAAAAGAAATCATCAATTCAACGCAAACCTGACCTAACTGCTTCTCTGGACACTGGCGGTTATCATCTTAAACCAAGGTATAAAATAACAACATTATATGCAAAATTTATTTTATTGCCCTATAAATTCTGCAACTGCTTCTTTAAATTTGTATTATTATTTATTATCAATATTTATATTTCTATGCAGTGTACAAGAGTATCATTCTCATTCACTCAAGCGTGAAGCTTCTCCTTCGCTCAATTCTCTCACAACTACTGCCTCCAGTAGCAGTGTAGGGGCACTAGAGAGAAGGGGCAGTCTCACTCAGTTAACGGCAGATTCAATCTCTCCCTCTCAATCAAATGACCTCACGTTATTAGACGATTCTGATAAGATCAAGAAACTCCGTCATTACATCAGATTAGGGGACGAAAGAGGAGGAGGAGGAGGAGGGATACCGGCCAGCCATAGCTTTGACTTTGGTCGTGGGGCATCTGCAAATGATTTAGCTCCACCTTTGCCTCCTCGTAACCTCATAAAGAAGAGAATACCAAGGAATTCAGAAGTAACAGCTCCAGTAGTTTCGCCATTGTAAGGAGATATAATTTTGTATACTCTTTATTGCTATAATTTTTTCTATTCTGTATACTCTTTATTGCTAATATTTGCTAACCTGTAGGTCCTCATCTCCTAACAGGTCACCAGTGCTGGCTCACACTGGCCTCCATCATGTGAATAGACAGCCATTCGACCATCAGCACTATCAGCTGAGATCATTAAAACAATAGAAGAATGTATGCACACATACACACACACTCTCTCTCTTTATTCTATCATTTATAGTATTAATATGCATTTATCAATGGGAGCCATTATCATATTACCATTATTATTATTATCATTATTATTATTATTATTATTATTACTATGTATAATTATTCATCAATATGTATGGCAATTTTATAAGCAATAATAATTGCATTATCGATTGTGTTCATTTTAGCTCCTAAGGCCCTCATATCACTGTGATTAACAGACTTGTATATGTATCATACACGCTCTGATTGTTCTTTTGATTGTTGACTCTATTTTTTACATGTTCAACTTAATAATGTCCTATTATTATTATTTCATATCATTGTTGTTTTGATTAATAAAGCTATATTGAGAATCTTAAAATGTCTCACTTTCAAGTAACTATAAGTTTAAAATGTATTTAAAAACAATAAAAATAATAATATTAAAAACAATAATAATATTACTACAGAAATTATTAGTATTATCATTGTACATCTATGATAAAAATTGCCACTGATTTAAAAATCAAGAGTCTTAAAAACAAAAGTGCTCAATTTAAAAATAAAATATCGAAGATCAACAAAAACTCTCGTGTCACACTAGCTAACGAGGAGGGAGAGGAGGAAAAACATTATTTGAAGAAAAATCCGGTCTTCTAGGTGACCTAGAAAAACAAAAAAAAAACAATTAAATACACATTAATGGCCTTTCTCTCCCATACCTTGGAGGTGGTACAGGTCCTGTTAGCTGAAGGTCGCCACGATTTGATTCCAATCTTTGAGGGACAGGGGGCGGAGGTGCTTCACCACTACCAGCTGGTGGATTGTAATGTACGTTCTGATACGAGTGAGAGGATTGGGACTCCGGCTCACCAGTGTAGCGTATATTCTGGTAAGGATGAGGTACTCCGTCAACAATTGCTGGCTCAGTGCTAGTGTTTAATGGAAGGGCTCCAGCTGAAGTCGAAGGATTCATTTTCTTAGAGTTAGGATCGTATCTAGCAGGCATCGAAGGAGGAGGTTTTTTAGCTTTTAGTTCTAAAGCTTTATCGACGTCTTTGCTAGCAACAGGTGACATTATGACGTCGCTGTAATCAAACTTGGTCCGTGCAATTGAAGGCTTGACAGGAGGAGGTTGCTGTGGCAGCTGCTGCTGCTGAAGAGGGTGTCCTCTTAATCCTCCATTACCTCTAGTGTTATCATCTAACGGTTTATCAGTCTCATCAGTCGATGTGTTACTAAAGGAGAGCTGGGCATAGCTACCAGAGCTATCCCCAATAAAAGTAGCAATTGGTACGCTCTTTGTGGCACCTAAAGGTATCTTGTTCCTTGGTTTAGGAGCAGGTGCTCCAGACGCTGGTAGTAATGGTTGACCGCTCTTTGAAGGAGAGAAAACAGGAATCCTGTTATCGAAATCGTTTGATGGTTGCTGTCTGATGCCTTCTGAGTGAACCCCACGTGGTTTAACGAAAGGATTGTGTTGAGGGGAACCATTGCTAGCTAAAGGAAGAGACGGTAATACTTTAGCACCTTTAGGAACTGGAGGAGGCGGAGTCTGAGTGTCCTCATCGTCATCTTCATTATCCAAAACTTTATCAACTATTGCGTAATCATATCCACCAGCTGTAACATGTTCAACGCTCACTTTACGAGGGAGTACTGGTCTACCACTCGCCAAGGACTTTGATGGCGACAATGGTTCTTTTTGCTTGGGGACTGGAGGGGGCGGAGTTTCATTATCATGACGATGATAAGGCTGGACTGAGGACTGCCCCTTTGATTTCGGTACTGGAGGAGGTGGAGTTTCATCATTTTTATTATCATCATCAATATCATCAAGAATTTTATCGACTAACGCATAATCATACCCACCAGCTGTGACGTGTTCAATTTTAGAGGCACTGGTCTTGTGGACCAGTGGTGGCTGTCTATCAGTTGATGGTTTGGGTGGTTCCCTCGACTTGGGAACAGGAGGGGGAGGAGCCTGATCACTGCCCTCAATATTGCCCATTTCTATTAACGAATAATTAGCACTTCCGTCTGAAAAATCTGTCTCCAACGTCCCCGTACTAACTTTATGATAGGGCACTATAGGTGGACCACGCTTCTTATTACCAACAGTGTATGGAGGATCAGTAGGAGATGGGACAGTTGGAGGAGTAGTAGGAGAAGAGAAGGAATCAGGCTGGGTAGAAGAGGAAGGAACAGAAACAGGAGAAGTGGCACCATTGTGTTGCTGCTGTTGGTGATTGGCAGGTGGTAGGGCAGTGGGTTTGACTGTCCTATATACTCCATCATTGTAATCTGTAGCCTGGACTGAACTATATGCTGGCAGTCTAGAAGAAGACTCTGGAAATAACTTAGAACGAGATATTGTTAGCCTATGGACTAGGTTCCTGCCCCTCTCTGACTGGGCAGCAACGACCTGAGGACGAATAAAACATTTACATAAAATTAGATAACATTTACAAAAAAGCAAAACAAGGCTTCTAGTAACACTAGACTAATTACAAAAGGATTACTGTATGTGTGGTGTGTCTCATGATAAAAGGAAGTCTACAATTACTGGAATTAGAGCCAGTTTGGATGGTAGTAACTTATAAAGGGAAGTTAAATGAACGGGTGAGGAAGCACACTAATATAATTATGCAGTGTATAATTGTAGATACATATAAACCTGATGATAAAAGAATTATGAAGGTAGTATAAGAGTATCTATGTTATGTAGTGTATCTTTGTGTGTTTTTTGATATGATAAACATATCCAAAGACAGAATATGAGAATAACAAACACACACACACTGACAGCATCTAATGCATGCATTGTGTAATGTATGCACGTACCACTTTGATGGCTTCTATCCAATCCTTCTGCATCTGTGGATCAGGAGCACAGATGTGATACGGTCTTTGCGTGATGCCGTCAATAACTTGAAACAAGTAGTTGCGGCCTTTAGCAGCTGGCAAGGTGTCGACCTTTGTGTTTAAATTAATTGTGATGAAACCCTACAGGATTATCATTGTTTTATAAAAGTAATGTGAAAATGAACACAAAATGATAACAGGCGATTAATGCTGTATACACAATACACAAGACCACATTATTAAAGCAAGCAATGAGTCACACAAGCATCAAATGTCATACCATCAATTTATCATCATTATTTACTGTCAGCTGTAGCTGTAAATTCTAACACTTTTATATAAGAATACTGAGAACAGAGCAAAGTAGAGTGTGGATAGTAATCATCCACACACAAAACACATGGAGTACTTACTATCAAGTTATTACTGCCAACTACCATATAAGCATCACATATTTTGTACATTACATGCTATGACAGTTTACTCGTCCATGTACATACATGTATTTGCATCATTCACATACTGTGTCAGCAAGTTGGGACTGTTTCTGTTAGTGTGTCATAGGGAGCTTATTTTAACTGTCTATGAGTCAGAAAACTAGCCATCAAATCAATGCAGCGTCATTGTTAAAATTACAGTGCAATTATAAACTGTACATAAAGCTGGATATATGATACTGCTGATGGTATGAAGGGAGATTACACTGCTAATGAAGTCATGTATTATGTATATATTGTATATTCATTCCATCAAGTCATTCACTCATCAATTTATGTTTGTGCAACCATGCACTTGTGGAAATCAATAGCAAGGACAATGAAAAATGAAAGAAAAGGGAAACAGAGTAAATAAAAAAAAAGAGAGAGAGAAGCTAAAACATAAAAAGAATGATTTCTTACTTTTTGTATTCTGTTTTCCAGTGACTCGTAATAGATGAGGTTAGTGCTTGTTAAAACAAACCATCTTTCTTTCCACGTCTGAACTTTGTGGCCTTTCTTTACCATCTTCCCCTGCTTCAATATCTCATGGACAACCTCCTCATAAAGTGACTGAATGACGTGCATCTGGAGGAGGTGGTAATGTTTCTCGGCCAATGCACTGAAAAAAGACCAGAAATCAACACTCTCTTGATTACAAAACCACTCTGCAATGTGTACAGGAGACTGAGGCTGACCGTTGGCTAAGAATATCTTCATGACCAGCTCCGTGATGTCATTGATGTGTACTTGCCCATAACCCTCTGTGTCCAGTTTATTGAACATGGCCCAGAGCTGTCGACCGAGGAGTCTCTGGACTGTCTCACAGAGTATCTTACGATCAGGCTTAGAGCTATAGACGTCCCACGATATTGTGAGAAGTGGATCAAGATTAGCATCCAGTTTATCCTGAGCTCTCTTTATTATGTGCTCTTCAACGTCAGCGACAAAATCACTCCTGGACATCGTTCCACGGTAAAATGCCTCAACGCTTGAATTGCCTGGCTTGTATGGTTTGGTGGCGGTGAGGGAGAATCCATTGTTGAGCTGTTCCCAGAATGCCTCGTAGTTCGTGCGGGAGCTGCCCTCGTGAACAAAATGTCCCTTTTCTCTAAGAGTGTCAAAACACTGGGATATGAGGTTCATTCTTAGGTGAACTGTGCTTGGTTGAGATATCACGGCAGCCATGATGGAATGCGTGTGGTCTGAGGAAGAAGAGAGACAGAGAGGGGGGGAATGGAGGAAAAAGGAGAGTTAAAAGGAGAGAAGGAAACAGAGAACTCAAGTTGACTTTAATATTCTCCGTAAATGTTGGTTTTGGCAGCAGACATAAAGAATACAATACAAGACTATGCAAGACTTAGGGTAGCTACAATATACATGCATGGGTATACAAGGCCCATTACTTGATAATAATAATAATAAACAATTACATGATAATGATAATGATAACAATATTAATGCTGTATCACAGAAGCAGACATGGAACAACGACCCTCAGAATTTTTACATAGTTTTAGAATTTATTTATAGTAGGTAAACAAATTAAATAATCCAATTTACAAACTTACAAAAAGAACAAGACCACTAAAACAAGGGCCGGGAGCTGAGGCTAACCTCAAAAGACGGAGAGTTTACAGGATAAAGAGGCAGCCTGACAGCACAGCACAGCAGGATTACAGACACGTCGCAAAACAGTAAAGACAGAAGAGGAAGAGAGAGATGCTCTGCTATGCGTGATCGCTCTGCAGATTGAACATCTACACCCTTTTATTGCAGGGTGTGGCTACTGCTGTGATGATATTCATTACTTTAAACACACCTACAAAAATATGAATAGCAACAATTAGCAAGCTCAATTCATTTTCATTGCATGCTAAATAGAATGCTTTATATGGCTAATGGAATTGTGTAGCACAAATTATTCATTGACTATTGAGACCATTGATAGACAGCATGATCTAATCATCTAGACATGTTTTTGTCTAAGACTATACTCTGAACTTTTTGATTTAAAATAAAAACATGAAATAACTGTCAACATAATAATAACTGTCATATAATAATAAATATTTCTTGTTCATTTTAATTCTTTCAATTGTCTCTCGTGTCTCTTTTCTTCAATACTCTTTGATGGTCCAGCCTCTACAGGTTTACGTATCCATCCCTCCAGCTTATAGCCCACATAACCGACTGTGATAGTGAAAGGAAGCATTACCCAGGGAGCATAAGTCCTTACAAGACCAACTATCACTTGGTAGACCATTTTTGAAGGAGTAGAAGATGGGAGGGGCTCGTTATTAATCTCTGTGCTGGGCCCGGTATGGGTGGAGCTCATTAGTAAAAATAGGTGGAGCTACTTTGCAATAATTATTATGCGCGGTCGATCACGCGCGGTTAGTGACCTCCACCCATAGCCCAGCCCAATACTTAACACAGGCTCGGGGTGGTTTGTTTTGGAGAAGCAGAGAGGAGCAAGGTGAAGAGAAAAGAGGACTAACTGTACTCCAAATAAAGACTCTATCCTCTTTGTTTTGCAGCTAAAAGTCTAGCAAGCATGGCTGGCCACATTGTCGTGAAGAGGCTCGAGAAGCAGACGCCGCCTGAGCGTTTATTAAAAGGCATAGACTTTTGGAAATGGGAAGAAGTAAAAGCATGAGAGAGAGAAAAGAGAACCACACGCACACAATAAGAAATAGTTGATAAGAGTGGAAATTGGCTGGGTTCCTTGGCTCTTAAATTAACAAACTAAAAATTAAAAATAAAAGACACTCAAATATCCCCATGAGCCATGTTTCCCCCTTTACCTCATTCCTCTCTCCTTTCTTCTCTTTCTTTTCGTCCCAGGGTGACACCATAGCTCATAAAATGTGCTTTAAGGTTGATTCTGAAGGATACTTTCTTTCTGCAACTGGGGATGATCCCTCCAAAGTAAGTGTAGCCGTTGAGAATGTACATACTGTAGCTTCCTAATGTTGGTATGACAATAATGAGTGCATTAAATACAATTATTGCGTACAAATTGTTTTCGAATGTACACATGTCAATAAGTAATTGCGCAAGACTATTTGTATTGTGTAGTAATTATGTATAACTCTTCCCCTCTCTCTCTCTTTTTGATTCAATCTCTCTCTCTCTCTCTCTCTCTCTCTCTCTCTCTCTCTCTCTCTCTCTCTCTCTCTCTCTCTCTCTCTCTCTCTCTCTTTTTCAGAGTGCCCTTGTTTGGGATCTTGTTGTTGTAAGTGATGTCAGAGCTGGTAAAGTACCCAAGGTTTGTTTTTAATAAATGCAGCTGCAAAATAATAATAATAAATAATACATGTATCATCTTTATTATTATTATTATTATTATTATTATTATTATTATTATTATTATTACTATAGGATGGTAAACTACATGATTTTCTGTGCACTAGTTTGGGTATTAGTGAGTTATCTGAAGATTGCTGTCTGTGTTTGGTTTACAAAATGGACGGGATCACAAAACTCCATTTTACCTACCTAATGGCACTAGACACAGAGAGTGCTCAGGTAAAGAAATATAAAGAACAGAGAGAGAGAGAGAATGGAAAATTTATGGCTTTAACATTTTCCTTTTTTCTTCATATAAAAAGATTTTCAAGACCTCCATTAACAAACTGGCACACCATCTTCTTGACTATCAACTCTCAGTACATACGTACATGAGAAAACAGTGAGTTTCCTTCATGTCTAGTACATGATTATGTCATACATTACAAGACATGATGTTAATGTACATGAATGTAATTTGTAACTCTATCCAGTTATGTTCGAATGTGTTTGGAGAGTAACGGTCACGGACAGCTTCCAGTCAAAGTCGTCCGAAAGCTCATGATGGTACCAAAGACCTCTAAAGATATCCTTAACTATTTTGAGTCGGCAAAAACCAACGTCAAGGAAAAGGTGCGAGAAAGAGAAAAGGAATGAGATAATTTTGTTATTTTTAAGGATGATGGCACACCATACATTGATGTGTCAGAATTCACCGAAGAAATATACATGAACCTAATCGATACTTTATTGCAAAATAGAGGACCTGATCTAGACGTATTGAAGAAGGAATGGTTAGTCGTCTTCATCACATGACCGACTCTCGTATGATCATTTCTCATTTCAATCAATAGTAAAATAAAAGCTAGGAAGCAGTATATTGATGCCAAGGAGTTTGCTACTGTTTTGAATACAGTGAGTCCTCATTACTACCCCCTCTCTCCCTCTCACTGTACATTGTATGTACCCATAGCAACAACGTGATCCTCGTCTTAATGACATCTTGCACCCTCGACTGACTAACGAACAAGCTATGGCACTAATGGATAAATATGGAGGAGAGAAAGGTAAGAGAAGAAAGAGACAAACTTGATGAGAGAATAATGGAGGGATAGTCTGCACTATATGTGGCTACATGTACATGCTTATAAAAATATTATACTTTATTATACACAATTATTGTTATCATTATTATTATTATTTCTGTTTTTATTTTGATAGATCGGTTAACAATGAAGGATTTACTTCAATATCTCATGAGTGATGATAATATGATCATCGACCCAACAGTATTCGACCAGTGCCAGGACATGTGGAAACCACTCAATCACTATTTCATCAACAGCTCTCACAACACTTACCTCAACGGTACCCTGTCACATGACTTGTCATGTGATGAGTGTTATGTATGTTTCTATAGGTCACCAGGTTCGGTCTGAGTCCCTCACTGAGATGTATGCTCAAGTATTGCTCACTGGATGCAGGTATAGGAATGAATGTTTGCCTGTGTGTGTGTGACTCTCTGTTTTGTTTGTGTGTTAATGTATACAATAGTTGTGTTTGTCTTTTCAAGGAAATATTTAAATCATGGCATTTCCTTGTATTCGTTCTCTCTCTCTTTATGTGTTTTTCTTTCCTTCTATTTACCACATCTTCCTCTCTCTCTCTTCCCCCCCCTCTCTCCCTCCCTCCTTTCTCCCTCCCCTCTCTCTCCCTCCCTCCCCTCTCTCCCCTCTCTCTCCCCTCTCCCTCCCTCTCTCTCTCTTAGATGTGTAGAACTTGATTGCTGGCCTCGTGGTGATTTCGAAGACATTATTATCACACATGGGAACACACTCTGTACTAAAGTGCCATTCAAAGTCAGTCTAATGATATTAAAAATTAATAACAATAAGATTATCATTATGAAAGTGTTGTGCACAAATTACTACCTACAGTTGTTACACACTCTTGGCAGCACACAAGACAGAGAGAGAGAGAGAGACAGAGAGAGACAGAGAGAGAGAGAGAGAGAGGTAGAGAGAGGTAGAGAGGAAAGAAAGAGAGGGATATGATTCTAGACAATGTTTGTGGTAATGGCTCTCATTATTGATCATTCAATGTCTTCTCTTTACTCTATTCATCATGTGTATGTACTCACCTTCTCCATATAAATGCAGTGCAGCTGCTGTTGTTATTAGTGGAGGAATTGGTGTTTATTTTTGATGTTAATGTAGTCAAGTTATGTTAATCGTACTCTTGAATGTAATTGTATCAACACTGACTTCTCTCTCTTTTTCTCTCTCTCTCTCTAGGACGTGGTGGAGACTATTAATGAGTTTGCATTTGCTGCCAGTGAATACCCTCTCATCCTCTCAATTGAGAATCATTGCAACAAGTATCCTAAACTCATCAGCAGGATGGCTGACATCTTTATCAATGTCTTTGGAGATAAGCTTCTCTCTGCTCCTTTTGAAGATTGCCCTGTAAGAGATTGAGGGGAATATTTCAATGGACATTACAATGGCCTCAATTTTTAAAACAGAATGCTTTAATTATATTTGAACTCTCTTTCTCTTTCTCCTTCCTCCAGCTGGAGCCAGGCACACCACTACCGCCAGTAGAGAAACTCAAAGGGAAGATACTAATAAAGGACAAGGTCAGGGCACCAAAGGGAGGGACTGGGACTCTCTCAAGAGGAGCAACAATCCAAGATAACTCTGAAGACATACCAGAACCAGCTGCCTCATCACCAACCAGTAAAGAAGAGACTGTTGTGACTTCTCCTCCTCCTGTCACAGTGGTGACTGATGATACTCCTTCTCCTACAGCTGCTCCTCCTGTTATTGTAGAACCACCTAAGTCCAAGGTATTATAGTCACTTGAAAAGGTTGAACTTCTTTTCATAATTCATGTATATATAGGCTCCATTGCTTACTAGACCTAGTCTATTCAAGGGTATGACTATACTTGAAGACACAGACGATGGGTTAGTATGTACATGTACATATGTATAATTATTAAACTATGTACATGTAACTAGTCATTTTGTTTACTGTTTTAAGTCACTACGGTCTTCTTCGAGAGTGATTATTAGTGTTTTATGTGATGCTGCTCCTGCACGTGCTTGCGGTATGTCTCTCTTTCTCTAGCTTGTCTGTAAGAGGACATTATTGTTATGACGTTTTTCCAGCTGTATCTTGTCCTTTATCAATTCATTAGCCCTGGCCCAGTGTCTATTAGATTGTTTAGCCTCAGGAATGCTTTGATAAAAGCCTGGTGTAAGAAACGCCAGCCTTATTAAGCACAGCTCAAATTAGCTAAAATTATTTGCCTAATTTAAATTGGCTTCATGTATTTATTATACTGTTCTTAATTATACATGTACCTGTATGTACGTATGTACATTATTTTTATGATTCTCCATTTTCTCTTAGTCCAATCAAACAGAACAGTTTAGAGAAAAGTCCTTCTCAAGCCTCAGCTTCTTCTAGTGAGAAGAGTCCACCTACCACTGATGAGCACAAGAAAACTGAAGGAGGAGGAGAAGGTGGACAGCAGCAAGAGTCAACTGCACCAGCTGATGGAAACGCTGAAGCAAAACAAGTGAGTGAGAGAGAGGGGCTGTTTGAAGGAGAGTAGAGTGCACAATCTGATCTGGTTTTTGTTCTTTTTTTAGCCTGGGAGCACTCCAGCAAAGAAAGATAATGGAGCTAGCGATGAAGCCTCAAGAGAAGAGAAAAAGAAATACGAGGTAAATGAAGTATTTTGATATCAGACCTACATGTTACATGTACATGTAATAGTAGAATGTCTTACTAAGACTACATTGTAGCAAATAAATTTATTGTAATATGTAATTAAAATCAAGATCAAGACCATTTCTTGATACATATACTTGTTTTTATGTTATGTATCAAGTTTGAGCTTATTCCAATCAAATTTGTATTTTTTACGAATTTTTAAAGTTACTCCAAAATCGGGCCAAAGACCAAAGGCTATAGCCTTGGGTCATCGGCCAAATTTCCTTAAAAAATGAAAAGTCAAAATTCTCCATTTTAATAATTTTTCCTGATAGATAATTAGATATACATGTTCTTATACTATTTATCAAGTTTGAGCTGATTCCGATCAAATTTGCATTTTGTACAAATTTTTCAAGTTTCTCCAAAATTGGGTCAAAGACCAAAGGCTATAGCCTTGGGTCATCGGCCAAATTTCGTCAAAAATGAAAAGTCAAAAATTCTCCATTTTCATCATTTTCCCTGATAGATATACATGTTTTTATGTTATTTATCAAGTTTGAGCTGATTTCAATCAAATTTGAATTTTTTACAAAATTTTAAAGTTGCTCCAAAATCAAAGACCAGCTATATAAAGTATTTAGCCAAAAATAGCTAGGAGAGAATTCTCCATTTTTATTACATTTTCTAATATTTTTTAAATGTTGTTTGAGCTGGTTCTGATCAATTACATGTACATGTAATTTTAATATTATTTTAAATATTATTTTTAATGTTATTTTTAATATTATTTTTAATTATTACTTTTTACTGTATTTGATCTACTGTACATTTGTAGAGAGGAGAAGCTCTTGGTGCCAGTCCTTTGACAGAGCTACTCAACTATGTTACTGCAATGTCTTTTGGGAGCTTTGAAGCATCCGAAAGTAAGTTCAAGTATTCAGTACTGATTGTTTAATGCTAATTATATTTTCTTTTTTCTCTTTCTCTCTCTCTCTCTCTCTCTCTCTCTCTCTCTCTCTCTCTCTCTCTCTCTCTTTCTTTCTCTCTCTTTTTTCCAGAGCTCAATTGTCATTACATTATGTCCTCCTTTGGTGAAGAGAAAGGTATGAATCTCATCAAGACGAAGCCAAAAGAGTTTGTGAGGTATAACATAAGACAGAACAGCCGAGTATACCCAGCTGGTGGCTCCAGAATGAACTCCAGCAATTACATGCCACAGGTAATCAAGCAGGAGATATCACTCTATAAATATTATTTTCATTATTATCTAGATCTATTGGAATGTTGGCTGTCAAATGGTAGCTCTTAATTTCCAGACATCAGACATGCCAATGCAAGTCAACTATGCAAAATTTGAAATGAATGGAGGGACAGGGTAAGTAGCTGTCTCCATGACAACCTATGACCACGCCCACATCTACAGGTATTTATTAAAGCCAAGTGTCATGTGCATGGACAGAGGTTTCAATCCGTTTGTGCAGAAGAAGATTGACGACACTGTCCCCGCTCGTTTATCTGTCAAGATAATCTCGGGAATGTTTATTACGTCAAAGAAGACGGAGCTGATGGTTGAGATTGAGATGTACGGGCTCCCAGCTGACATTGTGAGACGAAGATTTACTAAAAAAAGGGCACCTGCTCCTCATCCTTTCTGGGACGAGGACTACTTTGTGTTTAAAAGAGTAAGAGAGAGAGATGTGAAATTATTGTTTATAAAGAAAGTGAAGCAGTTACAAAATGTGTCTACTATGCACGTACAGTGTAGTTACTTGTAACAAATTTAGTGCTTTAAATGTTAATTTTTTAAATTAAAAGTTTAAGACAGGGTTAAGTTTAAGTTAACCCATTCAAAAATTGGATATACAGGTGAATGTAATGGAGTTATATGTACATTCCCTCTCATTTTATACTCAGTTATTTGTAAAAGGTCTAATGGGTTGCCCTCTCTTAAGTCATCCTGTTCTTTATTGTGGTTAACAGTTGACACTAAAGTCCATTTGCATTCACCTGAGCCCAGGAAGTGATTACAGACCCCACCCAATAATTAACACAATGCAATAATATTAGGAAAAGTATGGCTGTACTTTCTGCATGGGTTATACAACCAACTTGAAGCTAAAGAGCTATAGCTGCTTCTTGAGTATCACAATAGATGCGGCAAAAGGAGAGGAATGCACAGGTATGTTTATTTTTACAATAGGAACTGTAAGTCAAAAGTTATTGCAAGAAAACTAGGGCTCAGGTGAACACAAATGGACCTTAGTAACAATATAAGCCCATTCACTTCATATTGTCATTATTGATCATCATTATTATACTGCTATTTTTATTTTTCAGGTATTATTGCCAGAGCTAGCTCTACTGCGTCTAGTAGTGTTTGACAGTGATCACGTGTTCATGGGCCAAAGAGTCCTACCAGTCAATCAGTTAAGGGCTGGCTTCAGACATGTCTCACTGAGGGACAAACACAACAATCCTCTAGGAATAGCCAACCTCTTCCTTCACATTAAGATCGAGGACTACGTACCTGATGAGTACGAAGGTAAGCACTGATTATCTCTACTTTTTTGAATCTCGATCTATTTTTTAAGATTTCGTTGCTGCCCTTGAGAACCCACTGATGTTCGCCACTAGAGCTTTGGAGCAACTGGCAATGGGAACTGATGCCGAGGAAGACGAAGTGAGAAGACAGAGTCTTTTTTCATTTATAAATTTATATTGTTCAGTTTAAAGATGCAGCTGAAACTGAGCAGTCAGGGGAGTCTAACATTAGAAAAGGGAGTGCCCCTGAGATCACTCCTACTATTAATACACCCGATGGTCCTATACCTGAGCAGAAAAGAAAAGGATCGGCTGCTCCTCCGGAAATTCAAGTTAAAGTAATTTCTGCAAGAGGATTGAAGCCTTTTAGTGATATTATTGTTTTTTTAGTCTGCTCAAAATTTTGCAAAACCAAGAGGCTCACTTGTTCCCACGACTGGTAATGATACCCTCAAAAAGATGGGCACTAAATCTGCCACTATGCCCTCATTCCAAGGTACTTGTGCATTCTGCAGCTCTTAGTCATTTCTATTTTATGTTTTTTTCAGGTGAAACTCTTTCTTGCCTAATGGAAGCAAAAGGAAGGGAAAAACTTTGTGCAGTGTCTCATGATTCACCAACCATTATTGAAAATCCAGTAAATTATGATAATATTATTAACTATTTTTTATATCTGTTATAGGATTATCTTAAACTGATGAAACGATTTACTAAAGGAAATATTGATTTAGCCAATAAACACGAGAAGGTATACATTTTAACTACAGATTATTATTATTATTATTATTATTATTTTCAGGCTACTAAGAAACTGCAGGCTGATCAGTCCAAAGCAATGGCCAAGGCGTCAAAAAAAGGAGCTGACCAAGTGAGTTGGTTTTTATAGAAATCAGTCGTTCTTTTATTGTGTTGTCTTTCTATTATTTTTACTTTTTTCTCCTCTTCCCCTTCCTTTCTTTAGGAAAAGGAGTTGGAGGCGACTCACAAAGCTCAATTGGCTGATCTGGAAAAGAGTCAGAAGGAGCAAATAAAAGCACTAGAGAGACAATCAAAGATGGAGGTAGCGTTTAGTAATAATCGTTTCATCTCAATTTTTAATTTATAAAATTCTTTAGCTTCATGAAAAGCAAAAGTTCTTGCTTGGAGTGACTCATAATGCACAGAGAAAGGCTCTTGAGAAAATAAAGAAAATGTAAGTCAAACTCTATTATGATTAGAACTGGTTGCATTCTAATCACATTACCGCCAACAGTGATCTGGATAAAGTTACGAAAGAAATAATTCAAGAGCTGAAACTTAAAAAGAAGGACGGAGACACTAAAAACAAGGATTGGGGAAGGTTTGTGAAATCTTTTTTAAAAGAAAATAATTAAACTCTTGCTCTTTTTTCAGAGGTGTTGAACAGGAGGTGTTTAGCACAGGAATGCTGACTCGTTCTGAGCTGAGCAAAGTCCACGACAGAGAGAAGGAATATTTGGAGAAGACAGTTGTAGAGGCTGTGAAGAAAATGGAGGAGAAACACGCAGAGGTTAGAAAATAATTCATTTTTAAAAATAGTAGTAATAATAAAATTATGTTTAAAATTTGTGTAGGAGTTGGCAAAATTAGATGAAGATGAAAACGAGATAGATCTTTGAAGGAGATATTAAAATATATGGAACAATTATTTAGTCTATAGTTACACTCCTAATACACTTGCAATTTTAGTTATGCCCCAAATTTCTTTCACATACTCTTTCTTCCATTCAGTCATGCATAATGTTATGTGATAGTTATTTCATTTGTTTCTGTTGTATTTTGTGTACATGCAGTAGAATTGTAGATCTATTATTATTATTATTATTATTATTGTTATTATTATTATTATTGTTATTTCTTTTCTTTTCCAATGCTGACCAATAATTATATTTATATAATGTAATGATGATAATTATAAATTAACTTTTTTAATGATATAATAATGAAACTAATTTCATCTCCTCATTTTATTCCCATTGTTATTTCATTATCCAGCATAGAAGAATCGTTTTTTCTGCTTCCTTTTTCTTTATTTTTTTTACAATAAAATAAAAAAACAGACTAGGTATAATGCTGATAATTCATATATCGAAAGTAAGTCATGTACTCTTGTTCATATTTGTCTCTCTTTTCATGATGGTAGGATTGCTTTCATTGTCACTGCAGTTGCAATAGCTCCACCAAACATTGAACACAGAGCAAGGAGTGAGAAACCATGTAGAAGACCAGTACCAGATATTCCATGGCCACTATATAAATGACAGGAAGAAAGAACAACCTTTTAAAAATAATATCAAAAAATATCATTATCAAGAGTATCAAAGCTTCACTTGTAGGAAACATTAATCAATGTTGACCGATATCTAAGGTATATGATGACTGCATGCAATTTGATACAAAATACTTGATACAAAACAAACTGGATAGTGCATGCGTCGGTCATACCTGGTGCAACCTGAAGCCAGTCTTGCTCCAAAGAGGAGACATGCTCCACCAATGAAACCAGTAAGAGGAGAGACACCCTCAACACTGCCCCACGTACCAGAGAGGAGAGAAGAAGCTGCACCTCCTAATGCTGCACTCCCCACGTATACAACCTTTATGAATTAAAAATAGGATTAGCGGTAAACGATATGAGTCACATGATACAGTGTAAATTAGAAGTAATTAAGAATTGACACTAAGCGTGATACTATAAGTTCTGCCAAAGTGAAGCCCATAAAATCGACTAAATACACAAAGCACTGGTGACAACAACACAACACAGCACTGCTCAACAACACTGCTCAACACTGCTTACAGTTAACACTAGCACTAACCTGCCACCAGTCATTAGTGTAGCTCTTAAAGTAGGCAAAGGCCCCATTTCCAGCTTGCTTTGTGGTGGTACTCACTGCTTTAGCTACTAGAGTGCAATAAGACGAGCTGCCCCCAATACTATCCTTCACACTAATTGCCAATGGAAGTTGAAGAATGCCAATACAGACACCGCATAAAAGAGGGTTCCATGTTGCTTGAGATAAAAGTGGAATTCCATTTCTTTGCAGCCCCTAATGTATGCACACAATTTAATTATGCAGTGAGTATAGTTTGAATAGTAATAAATACAAGCTAGCATAATATCTCATTCCTTACTGATAGGTTTATTTTCTCTGGAAAGAGTATATCTACTAGTATTGAAACTGTAGCGAGTAGAGCCATAAAAGGCAAAGCAACAGATACATATCTCACAGAAAGGATCCTATCAACACTGCATGTGTATGTGTGTAAATAAGAGACAATGAAAACATTTTTGATATTAAGTTAGTTAATACACTAACAAGTTTCCTGCAATCGAAAGAGGAGAAGGCTCATCATCATCTTGCTTCTTTTTGCATGTAGACTGGAGGCTGGAGTGGATCATACCATACAGTACTGCACCAAGAATGCAGCCTGCAAATGTGTATACTGGGAAATGAATCAAAAGTAACAATGTCGAAAGATTCCATGTACATATACCTGCATGTTGTGTTCCGGTTCCAAGCTGGACAAATATCATTCCAGGACACTAAAAAATAATAAGAATGGATTAAAATAGTTACAAGAGTAGGAGTATTACAATAAAACAATTTGCAAAAATTTGCATGCCATCCTTTCATAAATTTACAGTACATGTAGGTATGATGATGATTGATGATATTTAATGGGTTCGCTTACAGATCCAGATAATGTCATTCCAGTTCCAAGAATGGCCCCACCAAGTAAAGTCTTTCCGACACTTTGAAATGCAAGTGAATCGTAAAATGCTTTACGAACGGAATGGAAATAGCGTCGAGTGGATGGAATGAAAGCCAACAAACTGAAAACACCGCAACCTATGTTGTACACACAAAACTTATCAGATTGTGCTAATACTAACACTCTGAGAAAAAAATTCATCAGTTTATATAAAACACAAGGCTTCAAAAAGTCATGCATAATTATTAGTTTTCACTGACTTGTAGCAACTGCTGGTAGGAAGAGTTTAAGCATGGTGTACTGTGAAAATGTCATTTGGTTCCTTATGACTGATGGTAAGTAAGCTATAATCAAGTAAAGAAATGATAATGTGATAATGTGAAATAATGAAATTAAAACTAGAATGAGAATCAGCAGCTGCAATTAATGAGGCACCATAATGATAGCTCACCTTGTCCTTTCTCTGCAGCTAATCCAAAGATGAGCCCGCAGCCACTAGAGACTGCAAAAGTCTTGAAATCCATCTTACCTCTCTCTTCTTTTTTCTCTCAGACTTTAATAAAAGTAGCTTAATAGTTTCGGCGGCTAGATACAAAGATATTTATGAGATAACAGAAAATTAACAAGCAATCAAGGACCGCCTTGGGTCACGTAGCCTACTATGGTATATACAGCAGGTCACGTATCTACCCACACCTCCCATCACGTAGCTCACTGATTGTATTTATAGAATGTTATCACTGAAAAAAACTGGGAGGAGTGTTTGGGTAACAGTATAGTATATATATAATGAATGTAATAATGATCTACAAAGTGCTATCGTTTGTAGCAGTAGACTGAGCGCTATCCTTTGTAGTCTCGGGCGGAGTATCTGGGAAAGAGGTGACAGTCTTTAACGGGAGCTGGGAAAGTTCCCGAGGGGAATATCTATTAAAAATAATAATACAAATAAATCAGTAATAATGATGATTAGGATGCCTTCTAATGTAGTCGCTGTATTGACCAGGTACCAGTGCAGCTGGATACTTGGATTTCCGTGGACAATTACGAGGAACTTGCTTAGGTCTTGGTATCCTTTGAGCCTGTAAATGACAAAGAAAAACTTAGCTATAAAAATACTTTTAACAAATTTAACTTCACAAAACATTATTCTATCCCTCTCTCTTTCTCTCTCCCCCCTCTCTCTCTTTCTCTCTCTCCCCCTCTCTCTTTCTCTTTCTCTTTACTTCAAGAGGTCTCTCCTGGTAAGTATCATAGTTACGTTTTCTCAAAATATTGCAATAAGAATTAAAGAGGACAGTCTCGTCGAGCATTGCATCAATCAGTTCGTCGGGGTCTTCACACTCTTGAGTGACCTGGAGGAACAAGTAATGAAGGACGAACAGAAAGAAAACTCACCTGACTCTCAGCTAGCGTCCTCATATCGGCTAACGTGCTCTGAACTGCTTCATTGAATTGTCTCTCAACCTGAGCATCGACATATTCCTATTTCAATATTTAAATTCACAATTTAGATCTTTTATGCTGGACTGGAGTACTTTGTACTTGTCTGGAAACTCATCCGCCATCAGCTCTAAGACGCCATCGCTTTCCATAGCAACCAAACCTAGAGGAAAGATGATGCACTTATGCTGTGTGCAGTAATATGTGCAACAAAATTTGAAGTTATGAGCATTTTAAAACAAGAAAAGCAAAGGCTATAGCCCATGGTTTTTTTGCTAAAAATGGCTCCAAATTCACCCCAAATTTTTATTGCATTTTCTGATGCATATTGATGTCTGTATGCTATGTAAAAAGTTTGAGGTGATTCCGAACTAAAATTTTCGTATTACAGTCATTTTAAAAAATGAGCCAATTTCTGAAGATTTCCTGTACATGGTTTTTTTCAAAAAATGGCTCTGAAATCACCCCAAATTTTTATTACATTTTTTGATACATATTGATGTACTTATGCTGTGTAGAAAGTTTGAGGTGATTCCGACTAAAACTTTTAAAGTTATGGCCATTTTAAAAAATGAGCCAATTTCTGAAAATTTCCCTGTACTATAGCCCATGGTTTTTTCCAAAAAATGGCTCCGAAATCACCCAAAATTTTTATTACATTTTCTGATACATATTGATGTCTTTATGCTATGTAGAAAGTTTGAGGTGATTCCGAACTAAAATTTTCAAGTTATGGCCATTTTTAAAAAGAGCCAATTTCTGAAAATTTCCCTGTACTATAGTACTATAGCCCATGGTTTTTTTCAAAAAATGGCTCCGAAATCACCCAAAATTTTTATTACATTTTCTGATACATATTGATGTCTTTATGCTATGTAGAAAGTTTGAGGTGATTCCGAACTAAAATTTTCAAGTTATGGCCATTTTTAAAATGAGCCAATTTCTGAAAATTTCCCTGTACTATAGCCCATGGTTTTTTCCAAAAAATGGCTACAAAATCACCCTCAATTTTTATTAAATTTTCTGATACATATTGATGTACTTATGCTATGTAGAAAGTTTAAGCTAATTCTGACAAGTAATTTTTGAGTTATGAGCATTTTAAAAATTTCCAAAATATAATAATGTATACATAGACATGCAGGCACTATAATTATTATAATTATAGCCCATGCTACTCTTATAAATCCATTCTTATATCATTAGGTCCTTACCCATATTGCATTGTGTTTCATTGACAGCTTCAATGTCCAGTAAATACTTCTTCTCTTCAATATCAAGAGATCGTCTCTCTAAGTCTATTACAAAAAATTTAAAAATGAAAGACCTTCTCTTCTCTCTTGCCTGGGTAGCGTCTCATCATGCTCCTAACGTCCAGGAACTCCCCCACCTGCTCCTGAAGCATGTACCACTTTGATGCCACATTACCCCCTCCAGGAGGCCATTGGTACTCTAACAATCTTTAGAGTCAGTATAAATTATATATTTAGAACCCCCAGCCCCCTTGCCCCCCCCCCGTGGGCATACTTTGAAGCAGGAAAATTGCTTGTGTGCTCATCGTTGTCACTTCCACTCTCATCTTGCTCCCTTGGCAGTTTCCTTTTCCGTCCTCTCTTCTTGCCCTAAAGAGCACACAGCATTCAGTCAATAAAATAATATAAATATCATCAATACAGTACAGTGTAGGTTGGCTTGTATGTTGTATCTTTTGGCTCGTTTGGTTCAGGAGACGGGCTGCAGTCTGATTGATTGGGACTACGAGACCTCTCTGGTGCACTGTTGACTTCCTAATCACAGCAGAAATTAATAAAAAGAAATTATAAAATAAAAACTTACTTGAGACATTTTTAATGTTTAATGCCACGCCTACTTTAAATTTTAACTCTTACGCCCACTCAATTTTTAACCCTTTTGATTTCTAATTTGTAGGTCAATGTAGGATGAGGATCAAAAAATTTTTGTGTGTACAGGCTTGAGGCTTGCTGATTTCTCACTTGATTGTAGGACTTCTGGTAGCAATTTATGGCAAATCGGGGAATGGTATGTGTAGCATTTAATTATGAAATTAGATTATTGTATAACTGATAGATGGAATGAGAAGAAACAATCTACCCAGTTGCAGTTTTAAATCACCAATTATACATACCAGAACAGAAAGAGAAGAAGGAGGAGGAGGGGCTCACAACGGCAGGATTGTTTTTGTAATTACACCAACGTATAAACGACTTATGCAAAAAGTAGATTTGTTAACCCTCTGTCACTCTCTGTTTGTACTATTGTTATTATTAGCCCACGTGTTTACATTGCTCGCATTTGATGTGTTTATGTTACTATGCTTTACAGGTAATGACAGCTGGAAGGGATGTGATTATTCGGCAATATTTTCATTGCTTGATATTGTAATGTGCAATAATAATTAAAGGCAGTTCTTGATTTTGATTGTTGTAACTAAATTTATTTCATTATTAAATGGAACTTAATGTTTTATTGTAGGTCCTTGATGAGTACTTTTATCACACTGCAGGAGGTGCCTGCATAGGTTTTACATTACTGTAGTCTAAGGAATGGAATATGTAGCATAATTAAATATTGTGAGATTCCAAAGTGTCTTATGTATTTTGTTATAGGGTATGATTTATGGTTACATGTATATTCGTCTGATGGGTATGTCATTATAAGCATGGCCACAGTAAGTACTCTCACAATAAGTTATTGTTTGCCAGCGTATCTTTCGTTGATGATTGTTAGTTTATTATAATAATATTATGTGCATGCATATTCTCATTAACAAACAACAATTGTTTGCACATTGGAAAGTATTTATTTGTTCTGTATTTATATGAATTTGCTCAATGCAAGTCTCATAAAAAATCTTAATTCAGTATAGAATTAGTAAGCATATTAAAAGATGTTTGTCTTTATTTTTTTGTAGATTATGAATGACAACACTGTGCATGTTCATGTACGTAATCAATATGTCCACGTTAATGGCTACATAGGTATTATTTATTTCATAAATCATGCATTATGATAATGTGTATTTTTCTTCTAGGAATATTAATAGAAGCTAAAGCATTGGAGCATTTTTGTTTTGTCAAACACTGTGCATTGCTAATGTATTTTAATCTTGGCTTAACGCTGGTGCATTCTTTATTGACATTTTGATTATTTTATTATTATGTCTACATTTATTATTATAATAAAGTTATGATACATGTAGTTAGTAAAAGTTATAATTTTTTGTTCCAACTTGAGGTCTTGGCCTCCTTCCCCTACCCCTACCCCTGCCAGGTCGTCTTGGTAGATTGAGATACTATTGTGGAATATAATTTAGTACCTCATAGTAACGACTTACAATATGTCTATTGACAGCCCTCAATTGGGCAATAATGAGCTGCCTTTGCTGGTGCAGCAAAGGCAGTGCTGGGGTAGGAGGGACTACTGGAGCCCCTGCAGTAGGGACTACAGGTGCACCTGCAGGAGGGACTGCTGGAGTCCTTCCAGGAGGGACAACGGGTGCACCTCCAGAAGGGACTCCCAGAGCCATTCCAGGAGGGACTACGGGTGAACCTCCAAGAGGGACTGGCGGAACCCTTCAAGGAGGGATTGCCAGAGCTCCTCCAGGAGGGATTGCTGGTGCCCCGCCAGGAGGGATTGCTGGAGCTCCTCCAGGAGGGATTGCCGGAGCTCCTCCAGGAGGGATTGCCGGATCTCCTCCAGGAGGCAGAATGGGATCTTCCTCTCTCTTATCCAGATCTGGGCTTGGTGACCAACTCATACTATGAAAAAGATACATACAAGTATATATAGTGTATAAGCTAGAGGTTGGATAAACTGACTTTTTGCTTGCAAAGTACGAATAACAAATATTGAAAAGTGGCTGATTGCAAATTCACTAAGGTCTAAACTTTAAAGTAAGGACTGTACTGCTAAGTGACAAACTTGACAAAGTGCAGTTGAGCGGGAAATCAGGCATGGTTATTAAAGATTATTAACGAAAACAGGATAGTACGTCACATAAATAATTAGTTATTAGCTATGAATTTCAATATTATTTCAAATTTTCAAGTTTCTAGATGTGCTATGTTTATTTTGTGTATGCACAAGTAGCCAAAAATTAATATCTTGGAGAAGTTTTATTAAATATTCTGTAATGGATTTTTAAACCTAGTTAATTAATATCAATGAACATAATAGTATGGAAACAAGTAAATAAAAAATTTCTTTAAATAAGAAAAGGTGGGGTTGTCAAAAAATAAAAGAAACAAGGGGGTTGAGTTCAATCATAATAATAATTATTAATTCAATTAATAATAATAAAAGTTAATTAATAAAAAATAATTATTCTAAAAAATAATACATAAATTTTAACCCTACTTTGCAGCATGTAATGAA